CGCCGTCGCCGTCACCGTCGCCGCCGTCGCCGTCGTCGCTTTCGCCCGCTGCTGTCGCGCCCTGGGCCGCCGCCGCCCTCGTCGGCCGCGGCGTGCAGCGCCCGGCCTCGGCATGGCGCAGCCGCTTCCGCCGGGCCGCCCAGGCGCGCGCGCGCGGTCTGCGTGGCTCGAGCCAGGGCCCAGCCCTGCGCCTCTGAGGCCCTCCGCCTCCGGACCAGCCCCAGCCAGGGGAGCTGCGTCGCCGCGCTGAAGCGGCCAATGTCGGAAGATCTGGTCCATCGGAAAGAGCCGAGATCGTTGGAGGTTGAACGGTCCACGCGGTGTCACAAAGCCGATGTCGACGTCGTGGCGCGAGCCTGCCGCGACAAGCTGCGGGGCCCCACTTGATCCGAGATCTCTCGAAAGAGGCTCGCGAAGGCCGATGGGCCCCCTCACGGGGGTATCCCGGACTTCCGTGATGACTTTCTTCCATCCGCGTGCCCCAGACTGGTTTCGACCCGTTGACACGGGACAGTTCTTGGGAAAGCTCTTCGCCCTGGAAGAATGTGTTGGTGCGCTTGGAGCCCAAGAGTGGCCGCCAGCGGCCGATTTCAGTAAGAGAAAACAATACAAGAACACGGCGCTAAACAGATCAAGCGCCCGGACTTCAGGAGGGACACGCAGATTCCTTGGCTGTGGCTTGTCAGGCCTTCGCGCCTCGCGAGGACGTCCACCAAGAAACAGTCTCCCCGCCCTTCGGGCCGCGGGGGCGGCCAGTCGCGGGCGGGGGCGCCGTCGAGGTGTTTGAGAGGGGTGGGGGAGGCAGGCAGGAAGGATGGGGGAGGAGGGGGGCGGAGGGAGGGAGCTGGAGGGAGGGGGTGGGGAAAGGAGGCGGAGGATCAGGATCAGGATCAGAGCTCCAAGGTGCCTGTTGTCAGGACCTACAGTAGGAAACCAGGCTCGGAGGAAAACCCCCCGGAAGTGGGATCAAGCTCGGGACAGGAGCGCCTCCGAGGCGTACGCCGAAGGCTAGCGTCCTGAGCCCCAGAGACCGTCTCGGGAACGCATTATCCAAAACGGGGCCCAGCAGGAGTCAACACTAGAGGTAAACCGAAACGAATTCCCTTCTGGCAAGTGTCAAAATCTGGCGGCTCTGAAACATCACTGGATATTTCGGGTGGCCTTTTGGGATCCCCCTCTTCTCTAAAGATGTGTTCACGCAAGCTGAATCGGGGGCCTCACGCTTCCTAGCTTCCCAGAACTCAGCAGAGGAAGAAGAGGGCCCGCGCCTGGGACCTCGGGTACGGGGCCTGCGCGCGGAGGGGGAGGGGGGAGCTGCTGCCGTCGATCCACGCGATCTCGTAGCAGCGGTCGTCGAGGTGGTGGCGGCCGTCGACCCCGAGGGTCTCGGCGTAGAGGTGATGGTCAGAGTGGGAGGTCGAATGGGGCAGGACGAGGTCGGAGGTCGAGTCGTAGGTTTCGGCAATGATCGCACGGCCCGCTCATTGCCAGGGAGAGGCACAATATCATTATCATGAACTGTACCGCCAAACACACTTTCAGCACTCACAACCCGAGAACAAAGAGCCTCGCACCCGGCATCATTCGTCACGCCATCAGTAATCACATGTCCGTGAACGCCTCGAGCCACTCTTGCAGCTCGCGCTGCACTGACTTCAGCTCCGCGCCCGTCTGGGCCAGGCTCTCGAGAATCATCGGCCTGATCGTCGGGTCGAGGTGCAGCAGCAGTTTCTTTTTGTTCTGGTCGTAGCAGCGGTCCATTGTGCAGAACTTGATCTTGTCGCACTTCGCGGTCATCTCCATCGTCTCGAGCTGGCTGCGCAACTCCGTCAGCTTCTTCGCGTTGATTGCCCCCACCGCCTTCTTCCTCTGCATCAGGCCCATCAGGAGGCCGCCGACGACCCAGAGGTGTGGGGGTCCGAGGCTGTGTCCGCGTCCAGCTGCTGCCACCGATTCCGAATATTTCGTGCCCATCTCGCTCATCTTGGTCACCTCGTGGCTGTTCGTCTCGATCAGGATGCAATCGAACACCACGCCCTGCATGTTCCTCTTCAGTTGGCCCAGCTGAAGCAGAAACTTGAGCATCAGCACCTGCGGCTGTCTCTGTGCGCCCTTGAGGCCGAAGTCAGTCTTCTTCTCGCCGTCGCCTCGGGCGCGTGCGCGCCTGGCCTGTCGGTCGGTTCCCTTGCATCCTCTGCCTGGTGCCGCCGCCGCCGCCCCTTGTCCTTGGCCGAACATCGCCACGGGGGTACGAGCACAGAATACTCTGGGGCCGCGATGCGTCTGGCACAGGTGCACGAGAAGAGGCCCGAGGAAAAATTGCCACAGGCGGAGGATGAGGAAGATGATGTTGCACGGCATGCTCGTTGTATATGTCCATCGTTTCGAAATTTTCGTCGCAATAATGGCAGTTGCTCCTGTTTGGGGCACTTAGGGGCCATGGAAACCGAGAACGTCCTATACGACTTTCAGACTATCCCAAGACGATCGAACGTGTTGTCGAGCGGTATCCCTGGTCGAAAACATTGATTGACACCACGGACACTGATTGAAGATTACTCACGTAAACTGCGGGTTACACATACCATGTTCATCACCACGAGACTGGAACATGTGTGAGGTATGGACCCCTTGGGAGGAAAACGTTTTTGGCTGCACAGGGCCCCGCTCTCGTTTCTGAGCGTGCACACGAAGGCCGTGAGTTTTTCTTCCCTCGGAGGCGCCACCGCGCGATCAGGTCCTCGCAGGTTCTGGAAAAATGCAGTCTCGCCTTCCGTCAGGATAGCTGCCTTGAGAATTGACGGGTCGACCGGAAGCCATGCTTCTCATACCTCGTCGTGATCAATCAAACAGGGCGACATACGGATGGTAAAGTTCGCCCCGTTGCTCGAAGCACTCATCGGTGCCGCTGATGCCAGCGTCCATCCACAGGTCGGTTCCTACTTGGTGCGCCAGAGGAGGGGCATCCAGGGCGAGGCGTCCACGAGTGTCCAGGGCAGGAGGTCCACCATTGAGGGTATCCCAGAGAGCCGCGATTACTTGGGCGTGGGACTCAGGGCCACGGGCCATCTCCTGAAGTTAGTGCGCATCTAGTAGGAACAATTTTCCACCTACGCCGAAGGACTGCGTGAGGAAGGCGATGAGGATGGCTGCCGCTCCAGTCCGTGGCCTTGCCCCTCTCCAGAGCTCTGAAGTACTTAGCCACGACGGTGTCCATCTGGTTAGTTTTTGCTCGTGGAAGCGCAGGCTTCATTCGCCGACAAACCAGCTTCGATAACATGATCCGAAAGAGAGTGTTCTACCGCTGCTGGCG